CCCCAAAACCCCAAAACCCCAAAACCCCAAAACCCCAAAACCCCTCCAAAATACTCTGAATGAATATCTGCTAAAATTATTAATTTTATAATTTAAATTTTGTCAAAATGGATTCAAGTTCTTTCCTCATCAAAGAATACGAAAGTCTGTATAATGAGAGCAGGAGTAGGCCACCCTCTGTCTGATCATTTAGAAAAATCCTCAGGAGTAGCTAAAGCTTGTAAAAATGCAGTCAAAGCTCTGAAAGAAAGCCAGAAAGACATTGAGCTGGTCTGCGACAAGCTACTGGGGCCAATAGGAGATATAATTGAACTCCGGGAAAAGAGGCTGTATCCAAGTGCATTCTCTATTTTAGGAAAGGTCTGCATGACTACCTACCTTACTAAAGAAGGCGCAATGAAGACTGTAGAGGTTCTTAAATAATTTGAATAAAAGGTACGTTTATATCTTTTTGTCATACCCAAACAAGAGTTAACCACATTATTCATGAAACAATTCTTGCTAGAATAGTTAGGAATTGCAGTCATTATGAGCGAAAAACTTTAAATATCTAAGATTTAAAAGGAAATCTCACCAAAATTGTATAGCTTATCCGATGAGATGACTCAAATACATGTCTTGCAAATCATAATGGTTTGAATTTCTCCTGTTAAATTTTCAATGTCCCAAACTTTTGTTGATAATGTTCTCTCAATACTCCTGCACATGTACCTAAGTAAGCAAAAATCAGTGATGAGTACTTCAAAAGCTGCACTTACTCAATTGTTTAATTATGTAATAAATGACCTTGTCAAGTCACCATCCAGAAAGCCCAAAGACTTCGAACCTGATGAAGAAACCAAAGGGTCAGCAAATGAGAAAATGGAGGAGCTCAAAAAGGCGCAAGACTCAGATCAAACTCTATCTATAGTGGTGAAGTTGTTAAATGGCCTAGTATGCCATCTTCATCCTGACAAAGAGTCTGTGTGGGACTTCCCAGTAAATAACTTTACCACAGCGCTTGTGCTAGATCTCCTATCTGTCATCATTTCAGAAGGCAAAGATGAATTATCCAACTACAAACAAATTATGATGATCCTTGACGAAGTGTTTGATCCTTTATTAGGACAAATCACTTCAATGAAAAGTAATTATGCTATAAGTATCAGAATGGTCAACTGCATCACACTCTTCGCGATTCATATTGAATGTGGTCTTGAGCCATTGACAGGATGGTGCCTAACATTTATCAACATAAAGTCAAACACTTGGCAGAAACTAATAGCTTTTGAAGTCTTAACCTATATTTTCAACTCTAGATCTCTTGTAAAAACCTTATCTGAATCAAACGAGCAATATTGCTTAGCCAACATCCTCACCATCATGGAGAAGCACTTAGAAGTAATGGATAAGCATCTTGACGATCAAAACTACGGCGAATCCCACCCAAGCTATCAATCCCAAAAGCTCTACAAACACCTGGACGAGAAAAACTTCGATTGTGTTATCCTCCCTCCAAACAACGCTGTTCTCATAAAACTTCTCGTTGAGAGCCTCAAAAACCTCAGTTACAAATTCAACGACCTCTCTTCTCTCCCTCTCGAGACCTTCAAACAAAAGATCCTGACCAGCACACACATCCACAAGACCCTAAACATCCTAACCACCTGTCTCGACAGATGCTCTGACGAGATCAACATCCAAACAATCCTGCTCACTTTCCAAAACCTCTTATACATCTCAGGCAAGATCGGCAACTCAAAATTCCGTGCTACCATCATAAACTCCTTAGCTAAGTACGCTTGCCCTGCTGGCTTCAATAAAATCTCTAAGAAGAACATCCTTGTCATAAAGTGTGCGCTTAATATATACCACTGCTTGAACGAGTACCTTGACTCTAAGTGCTGGTACTATGTGTACAAGATTTTTCAGAAGGTAGAACCGGTCATTAGGAAGGAACTTGGCCTACAGCCGGTGGAGGAAGCTAGGATGGGTGTACTGTTGGATGAGAAGACAAGGGAGGATATAGAGGAGGTCAGGAAGAACCCGAGTGAGAAGGGAGAGAGGTTTATGATGAGGAGGGAGAGTGTTAAGAGACCTATTAATAGACGATCGTTTGTGAAAGAAGAGGGGAAGTTTAGAGATGGGGTTCAAGCTGTGAGGGAGTTTACTGCGATTAAGAGAAAGACAGCAGTAGGTCAGGCAATGAAGGAGGAAACTGAAGAGGAGTTGGAACTAGAGCCTGTGTTGCAGAGTATGGATATTACAGGCCATCAGATCGCTGGGCAAAGTTTTAGTGATGAGATTATTAAGGAAATGTTATCTGGGCTAGGAGAGCTGTTGGTCAGCAATGTTGAAGAGTCTAACTCTCCTACAGGAAAAGCTACTGCACAAAAGAAGATTTTAAGTGAAATGGTACCTAAACAGAAGAAAAGCCTTTTCTCTCTTAGAAGAATGACAGAGATCTGACTTGTTAATATACATCGAATCGAGAATTTTTGGGATATCATTACTGATCACTTAATGGTTATCTCAGTCTGTAACAATGAAGATTTTAGACAGTTAGCTCTAGAAGCTTTTAGAGTCTTAATTATTGAAACTTTTCAAAAGAGGAGTCGAGATTTCAGATTAAAGCCAAACTTATCCCAAAACTTATCAAAAATTCAGCCAGATACTGAACTAGACCACTCTGACCTCGACCCTATAAAAATAGAAAGCGATGCTAAAGAACTAGATTGTGAAGAAGATGTAACACCTGCTGGAAGAAGTCTCAAAAATATGAAAATGGAAAGGTTATCTCTTTCACCTGCCAAAGAAGAGAATAAGAATGATGAAGAAGAGAAAGTTCAGTGGAATCCTGATGAATGGCAAGCAAGAATCCTTAAGCCTTTTATTGACTCCATCAGCTCTCAGCCTTATGAGGAAGAGCAGCTTTCTATTTTAAAACACTTAGACAAGATTATAGATATTTGCTATGAAGAAATTAATGAAAATGGGTGGAAGGTTATCATTAGTTTCCTCAAAGACCTCAAATTTGCAAGAATCTCAGAAGTTGTCTTCAAAAAGGCATACGACATTGTTGAGGTTCTAAGCTGAAACTTTATTGATTTCATTGAAGCAGAGAACCTTGAAAACCTCATTAAAACTATCAGAAAATATGCTTCTTATCACCAAGGAAAATTTGAGCTTCCTAAATCAGCCGAGAAGAGTTCTAGAGATTCCAGAGGAAGTAAAATATATAAAAGGATTTTCAAATATCTGGTGCTAAAAGATGTAGATGAGGAAATCAGTATTAATAGTGACTCTGAAGAGGAGTCTAAAAAGAATATCTTAGAAGAAACCAAGCAGCCTTCCTCAAAATTTGGCCATGAGATCTCTCCTAGCACAGTTTATCATTTCAAGTTACTTTTTGAAGAAGTTGGGATGCTGTTCAATGACTTCCAGTTTAATTACAAAATTAGAAAAGCTTTAATTAGGTCAGTGAAATACATGATGAGAAACATGCCTTTTAACTGTAGTTCTAACCTATGGGAGCACTTAATCACTAAAATTGTATTCGAAATGATGGATAAGTCAATTGGAAAATATCTAGACCAAATTTGTGGATTCAATACTTCTAAAGCTAGAGAAGTCAAGCAGCATGAAGTTACTCAATCTCTCCAGACTCCTACTTTCTCCCTCGGGGGAGGTGGAGGAGGAGATTCCTCTGGTAAGAAAGGCGTGAAGAAGAAAAATGAGAGAAGAATGAAATTCAATGATGAAGTTATCAACAGATTCCACCAAAGGAATGAGGACAATCAACCTGAAGCTGCTGCTTTCGGGGCTGCTCCAGAGGAAACTCCCAAGACTATTAAACCTTCTCAAGAGAGCCTAGACGATCAGAGCATTTGCCTTTTATTACTTGAGATTTGTGAAATTGGGCTCAAACAATACAGAGGAATTTATGTCGATTCAAAGCCGAAATGCCACATGAATCTTGCGAACATGTGGACATCGCTTTCAAAAATTATTACTCCTTTAATCAGCAATGCATCTGCTACCCTCCTCGAAGGAATTCTTGAGTTTTTTATTTCTATATTAACCTCTGATTTGAGAGAGTATATCTACAAGAAATATGATAGCATAACTCTAGGAATTTTCGAAGAAATCAATAGTGTTATTAACAGAAAATCAGATCTTGTACTCTCCAAGAAAATTGCTGAGTTATTAGTCAGCATTTATAGGCAGATTTTCACTGTTGAAAATATTGAGGATAAGCCTAACCTGCTCAGCCCACAGAATTTAAATGTGAATCTTCACATTCTCAGGACCAATCTGCTCAACTTAATGTGAGTCCCTTTCTGGCTATTTTTAAGGTTATTTACTTCAAGAAATGTTTTTAATAATTGTTTCATAGGCCAACGATTGGACTCAATGCAATGAGACATGATAATGACCTCAAAAACGAAGAAAAACAGATATTTGACTTCATTGAATACCTTGGAGAGCTTCTAAATGAAAATGATGAAGCACTAAAATACTACTTAAGTTTTCTGCTAAACTTCATTAGCTATGACGCAAATGAACCTCATTATGAAATGTTTGTCAGGCGTGCTTTTGGAATTCTGTCTGAAGGTATTGTCAGAGATCAGTACAGTCCTTCCATATTATTTGACTTACTGCCAGAACTTTACTCAAAGACAAGCAACATTGTAGATCTGCGGTATCACAACAACTCTTGTATGAGTTTGGTCTTCTCCATGAAGACCTCTGCATCTCTTTTTGAAACAGCAGGAATGTTCATTTTGCAAGTCTCTTCCCATATTCTTGGAAAAGAAGTCGAAGCCGAAACTGAAACTGAAGAAAAATCAGAAGATAGCTTCATTAAGCCTAACTTAAGTATTCTAATTCCTAATGAATCAGAAGCTGAAGCTGATGAAGAAAAAGAAGAAGATTATTCTGAAAATGTAGAGGAAAAAGAAGAGGAGAAAATGGAGTCTACTCCCCTCGATACTGATACCAGATTCTCACTGAGAGCTATTGATGAGGAGGACTCTATCCTTGTTTCACCATCGAAAATAAGACATCAAGTGATTACATTTGGTACAGTTCAAGAGCTGATTCTCAACAAGATTATGGATTTGCTAAACCATAACCTGCTTTTTGATATTTCAAGGATTGAAAAGCATAACAAGGCTGTCAAAGATGCTGTAATAAAGTCTAGCCAGGACCTTGATGTGCAAGTGATTAACTTTATCATCAATGATTTACTACCTCATTCCTATAAATTAGGAAAGCAATTTGAACACACCTTAGTGTCAATCATAGATAAAGGATGTAATGGGTACCTAGATACTCTCTCATCTCCTGGAATCAACATGTTCGGATCGAGCTCAACTGTTATCGCTCAATCAAATAGTCTGAGCACTTACTGCTTTGACAACCTGTTCCAACTTTGTAGCTACAACCAAGTTAAGAAAGGTAACCTCAACATGAAAGAATCCAAGAGGTTAAAATTAGAAGAAATCAGGAAGAAAATAGCTAAAACTACAACCCCTGTTCTTCTTGAAAGGTGCCAAGAAACTCTAAGTAAATTTCTGTATGACGAAATGAAAAGTGGCTCTATAATGATGTCCCAACAGAGAGCTGAAGAAGTTGTGTTCATCATGGAGAAACTAAAAGAACTTGAAATTTATCCTAATCTTCTCAATGAAATAGTAATTGACAATAGTAAAGCCCCTACGTTGACTGAGGAGCAAATGAGAGCCAGGAATGAGACTCTAGGTAGCACTAAAGGGCATCTCTACTTACTCATCCCACTCTTCTCAGAATTCATCACCAGCAGAGAGGACATGATCAAAGATATGCTGAAAGAAATCTTCATGGAGATTGCCCTCTCCAAAGGCATCCATGATCATATGAAGTTTAGCAATGTCCAAGGCCTGGGCTTAACTAAATAATTGAACTACAATTCATTTTCAAGCAATTTCAATTAAGCCTTCTCATAGAGGGGTTTTGGGGTTTTGGGGTTTTGGGGTTTTGGGGTTTTGGGG